TTACTTTTATAAATTTATGCAGGAAATAAAGAAAAACATGAAAAAAAACATAACATTTCTTGTGCAAATATTTCAGAACAGGAATAATATTAGAAACAGAGTAAACCTTTTATAATTAAAATGGAAATAAAAATAGGCCTCAATAATCTTAATGTTTTAAAATTTCTCAAAAAAAAACCATCAATTTTGTTCTTAAAGTATTATCCTTTTTCTTGAATAATCTCTAAAAATATAGTCTGTGGAACGGGACATTATCTATGACCATATAAAAAATAATATTTAAAATAAAAATAAAAAACAAAATTATATAATAAGTTATTAAGGAATTGAAATCATAGTAATTAGTAGTTCTTGAATTGTTGGGAAACTTTTCAAATTGATCCCAAAATACTAGTAAAAGAAGAAATACTCGAAATACAAAATAAAATATTATGTTAAGCACATTTTTCTTTTATTAGTTGATTTATTAAAGATGGATACCACATCTAATTTAATGCCTCTCATTTTATTTTAGAGTTTGTAATAAAGTTCTACCAATAATAAAGTATAATTTAGAAAAAAAAAACGTGTTTGTTATCCTTCTATAGTAAATTATACAAATTAAGACACTAAACTGATGCATATTCAATATTTCGACATTATTTTTACAGTTTTATTATTTTAGGCAATACATTGTAAAGACAATAACGTTTTAGGAACTAAATTGGTATTTATTTGAATTTCTTGTTTCGATTTTTTTTTTAAAAGAATTTATTGTATCTGTGTAATATACTTTAGGACAATATTTTAATATGAATCATCTATATTTCAGGGTTCTGGAGAACATATCAGACAACATTGTTGCCGTTCATACAGTTAATGGTATGTCACCTTGGTTGTCTTTCATGACTATATTTTACTAATTGTCAACTATATATATATATATATATATATATATATATATATATATATATATATATATAAAATATGTTAGTTGTCTATTTATTTAAGGTACACTAAGCACAGTTTCGAGTAACATAATGGTTTATTAATAAACAATGGTGCTAGCACAATTACAGTTCACTAATGTACAAGAATACTCCATTAATTCCTTTTCATACAATTTCATGCATGTTTCGTATGCAATTAAAACAAGGACAAAACTTAAACCAATCACAGTTTTCAATTCTAAACTTGTAATTTCAAACTGATGATAGAAACTTTTGATGAGAATAAAGTCTTGGAAGTTTGGAAACAAAATTGATTTTACTGTTAAAGTTTTGATTGTTAACTGTTTTAATATTTCTTATATCATATTTAAGAATGTAACTTTTTCTGTTGCCATTTTTTTATGAAAAAAATAATAATGAAATGATAGCATGGGTGATGAAGATGAATTAAATTTTGTAGGATCTCATTGCCTGGATCTTCTGCGGGCAAATCAAAGTGATCCAGAGTGGTTGGTGGAACAAAGAAAAAAAGAGATAAAGATAATAAAAAAGTGGATCACTCGATACTATACTGATCTTGATGCACTAAAAAACAACCCAAAATTCCACACCAAATGATGAGGGGAAACACACAAGTTGAACAAAATATTTCAAAGGGTATGATTCAAACTTTGTGTAGGCACCATTATTTTTAAATATACTTCTCATCCTCTTTAATCTTTTGTTATGACCTCATTCATAAAGTAAACTTCAATGAGTTGAGAAAATAATGTGTATACTCACATAATAAAAGGTTTAACATTGTTATTTAGTCATGGATATGAATGTATGGTACCTTTAGGATCTTTTATCATTACTATATGGTTTCTGATCTATTGACAGAATACATTTTTTTTATATTAATAATGAATAAACATTAAATAAATTTATACTAGAACATTGTTTTTATTGTTTAACATAAACAGTTTTTATGCAACCCTTTAATGAAATAATGTTCTTCTTCAATGCAACTTTTACTACGAGATAGTATTAATAAATTACTAATACTTCACCAAAAATAATCCTCATTATAGAAAATATATAATTATATGTTGAAATTCTAAAATAAACAAGGTTTTAAAAATGTTAATATAATCTAATAGTGAAAATAAAGGCAGTACTGATTTTTATTAATAATTATTTTCTTACAAATTTTTTAGAATTGTGATCTGTTCAAGTTTAATATGGTATAAAGTAAAAATATTAATAAAGAAAAAATAGACCAGATTTTTAATATTGTTTGAATCTTTCCGACCGGTTAACAGGTTGATTTTAATAATAATTAATTAAAAAAAATAAAATTAAAAATAAAGAATGCATTTTAAAATTAAGTTATTTAAAAAATATATTTTTATATAATAATTTAATATATAGATGATAAGAGAATAAGTCTATTAGTTATTATTCATTTTTAGTAATCTAATAGTTTAAAATAATAATTTTTCTTAATTATTAAATTTTGTGATTAATCAATCCCTTGTTTATAAATATTTGTAAAATAAATAATTTTTTTGTTAAATTAATTTATAATATATATATATATATATTTAATAAAATAATATTATTTTATTTTTATTTAAAAATAATTATTATTTTAAACCTATGATTAAGTGTAACCTAAACGAGTTAAGATAAAATTGCTCTTTTAAGTTATAAAGTTTTTTATCAAATTTCACCTATTTCAAAAACAATTCAGAGTCAGCGCATCATAGTAAAACTATTTTCATATCCTAAATTTTTTATTTATAAATTTAACACTTCACTTTAATTGGTAGTTTTAGTATAGGTCTTTGATTTCTTGATTTTTAATTATTTGATTTTGACGAATCTTATTTTAAAATTTTAGTAAACTAGTTGTCCCTTTTGAATAATAATAAAATATTTAAAATTTATCACACCATTAATATTGTTTTATTTTATTTAATTGAAATATTACAAATTAAGATAAAATAGTTTTTCAAAATTTTGAAATAAATTTAATCAACAAATATTTTTTAAAATAACTAATATATTTTAAAACGAATTATTTCCTAGATTTGGGAAAATTGTGGTAATGATATGGAATTATGAATATTTAAACATTCAATAACTTTATAAAAAAATGTTTTTATCTTTCAATTCTTCAATTACAATTTTATATTATCTTAATTTTTTATTCCAAATTTCATCAAATTTGAAGAATGATAAATTATATGAAAAAATTATATTAACTACAAATAATTTACGTTTCATTATATATATATATATATATATATATATATATATATAATGATATAATTTTGACTAAAAAGTTACTTAACTTATATTAATTATTATACTATTCAATAATTTTGAATTTTAAACAAAATTATTATTTCAAACACTCAAGCTTGAACTTAAGCTTTGTTCAAGCTTTGTTTGATTTGAGAGATAGAAATTGCGGGAATGAAAAATGAAAGATTTGAGAAATAGAAAGTGAGAGAAGAAAAAAAAAAGATAAAATGAAATTGTTTGATTTACTAAAAAAAGAGTGAAAATGGCTGTTACAATTTAAAAAAGAAAAAAAAATCCGTAAACTTTAAATTAAAAAAAAAAAAATCGTCTAAGGTTGTTTGGTGCTCCTTGCTTAAACATTATGACACATAGTCCTACATTAGTTCGAAGAGATTAGTACGGTCCCCTCAGACAAATTCAATAAAACTGTTTTATTGTAGGGTTGGAAAATAAGTATTAATGAATGAACAAACGGACTTGGTGATGGTATGTCACATTGTTTAGACCTAATACAATAATCACTGGTGTCTTATACCTTAATTTGTATACCCCACTTGTGAAATTCACTACCACTTTCATGTTCAATAAAAAAAAAATGATTTCATCTAAGGGTAGTAGTAAAAAGTCTCATCGTTGGAGACTTGCCACCTAGTTTGCAAAGAAAACCAAAGTTTTGCTTTTACAAAAACAGCTTCCTTACAGAATTTTAACGTGCGAACATAATTGAGGGGCCATTTTTGCAGACAGCTTGAATTCTCCTTATTCGCCAATGAATAAAGAATGATCCTATCACAACAACATAACTGGCCCATCCAGTATGTTTCAGAGCTATTGTTTGTGAATCTGATCATTTACAGGTAGTGAACTTGGTGAAGAATTGGGATCCAATTAGAATGAACATATCTTTACTTGTTAAGGCAACAGACGACACCTTGTGTCAAAATTTGGAATATCCCATCTCATGTCATAAACATGATTTAAATTTAGTGTCTTACCTTTTGTATACCTTGCCTTTATTTTTTCATCTTAGTAAAAACGATAATGTGTCGAGAAAGACTTAAGAAATATAATATTATTCTTAGCTTGATTTGATAACCAGAACCAAATAAACATAATCATAATTTAAGTTAATTTGATTCAAATTGACTGCAAAAATTATCTAATAGAATATAATCTATATTATATTTTGTCCTAATCCAAATCAAATCAACTTGTGACACTTCTAACTACACAAACAGTGACAGATAGCAGTGATGATAACGAATGTTGATAGCAAGAGTTCAGTTGAGGTGATCAAAGGTAAAAAAAAATATGATATTTAACACTTTCAGTGAATGAAAAAGAAACGATAATATGTTTGAATAGTTCTAAAACAGTTTACAAATTGAACACCCCCTTTTACCCTAATAACAATGTCAACCAACCACGAATTAAGCTCGAAAATCGATATGATCATGTTATTTACTAAAAGTAACAAGAAATAAGAACACTTTAGTAACGAATAAGCTCAACTGTACAAGACAACAAAAGGGCTCAACACTACCATTTTGTCCAGAATTAATCTGCCACTATATACGGTATTAAGATAAACAAATAAACAATGACGCATTAACTTCACCTTTTTTTTTTCCAACCAGTTCATTCACCAAATCTACATACTTCTACAGCCACCATTCTTTAATTCCAGGCTCCTACAACCATTTGCCTTTACGGTTCACTGATATCTGAGAGTAGTTGCCATCAGCAAAGTTCACTTTCACTTCAGTCTCAACAAGAATACTAAACTGTAGAAGCAGTTTTCTTCACATGCTTCTCCTCTTCAACATCCTGAAAGGTTTTATAACATAATAATCAAAATCATGCTATCAAGAAAAGCTACATACATCTAAAACTTTCCAGCAATGCCGAGAGAGGACAATTAAGCAATTATAATCTTAAATATTTGAGGAACACCTCAATCACCATTATATGCTTTCTTCCATTTCTTGATTCTATTTGAACTACTACATGTTTGCGTGCACTTGCAGCCCAGTTTGCCTCAATTTTTTATCTCAATGACCTTCTATTTACCGACAAGGCAAACCATTTTTACACAAAATAAAATCTAAATTACACTATTGTTATTTAGTTGTAATTATTCTAACAAAAACACATGGGGGGCATGTTTAGTTTGCGTGTTCCCAAACAATATTAAGGCTACTAGAGTATATTAAATGAAAAAGAAAAACATAAAACCAAGGTGGATTCTGGTAAAAACACTTACAGAATTGCCAATCTTGTCAAAATCATCATCGAAACTTCCCTCACCATCATCTGAAAGATGGAAATGATAATCATTATTAACAGAGACAGAATGACAAGTTAATAGAAGATCATGACAGATAAATCTAAAGTTAACCACGCAAAATTTTAAAATCAAGTCAATTCTCAAGAATCTTAAGAATTACAGTGGAATGGCTCGTGCTTTTGCATATTAACACCCCTATTAATTCCAACATAATGTGCAAAATTTAAGACACTGATCCGAGATGCAAATTTCAAAATGTCATAGTAGACAACGGTTTTGTAAGAAAATCTGGACACACTAAGTAATATACCTGGAGCTTCATCACTGTCTTCAAGATCTCCAAGAAGAAATGTATCCAAGTCTTGCTCATTAGAGGATGAGTTAGAAGATCTACTCTTCACATTCTTCCCCGTTGCTTCTGCCTTTCCAGTTTCTCCAGTAACTGCGGTTTGTTCTAGCTTAGTATCCACATTCTGCACTGCTGCTGCTCTACGCTGAACCTCCTCCATATATTGCTTCTCATACCTGATTGTAACATTATAATTATTGAGTAGGGCTTACATAGAAATGTTAAACACTGCCCTCATACCATAAAAAGCTACAAGAACATAAGAATTTTGGCAAAATATTAGCACATCATCACTTTTTTGGTTTTCAAAGTTTTACTTTTCAAAACACAGGCATGTCACTATCCTTGAACTAATTGATTTCTAGGGATATTAAAAAAAAGGAAACAAGAACAAAACATGGAACTGTTTCATTCCACCTTCAAATTAAAAATTAAAAATAAAAAAGGATATATCACTCTCTATTCCAAGGTTTTCCCACAAAAATCTGAAAGTCTCCCCCGTACCTTAATATCCTCCTATTTATAGATATGATGTGCCTGGTCCATGATATCCCTCTAATTAGTAACTACTCTAATTCCCTTTATTATATATCCTAACAATTTCTAACCATTTATATCTGTGCAATATAATTTTTTCAACTTGTATCTATAAACATCCCTATGATAGCCATCCAGCAATAACAATTTTTGTGGTGGGCTACTCTTTGTGCTTATTACAGGCTTAGATGATAGTACAAGGGGTGTCCATGGGTTGGATTGGGTCGATTTTGGTCAATCCCATCACCCAACCCAATAAAAAAATCTTGGGTTGAGTTGGGTCGAGTTTTTTTTATTTCTTTACTCGACACAATCTAACCCAACCCCAATTTGTTTAGATTGAATTAGGTTGGATTAATTGGATCACAAATTTTAAAAAAATAATTTTTTAATTTTAAAATATATATTTTTTAGATTTTTTTTTAAATAGACTAAATTATTTATTAACTGAATAATTTAATAATCTAAATTTAATAATTGAATAAATTAAATAATAAATATATTATTATTATCAATGTTAAAATTATTTAACAATTTTGATTTAATGGGTTGGGTTGAGTCTCGGATTGACATACAAAACCCGTTACTAACTCATAGGAGATTGGATTGGATTTAACCCAATCATAGACAAAACCCAATCCAATGAACACCCCTAAACACAATTAACTTAATCGTTCCCCCAATACACTCATCTTAATTTTCCCACACCTTTTTGTCGAGTAATAATAATGCCTCTATTTTTTAAATAAAATTTTATTGCATCATAAAAGGAAGCCTTGGTTAGTTAGGTTTATAGCCTATACATTATGATCATTATCAATTGGCAGATACATGCGCAGCCATATTTGAAACCCGACATGATCCCTTTCTTCGTACAAAAATCTGTGTCATCTATGTCAACATGCAAAGCCAGGAAACCAGACAAGAGCCATTATGTTCATTTGGCTTATTGAAACCATTTTAATAGTATATATCGAGAATCCTAATCTCAGAAAAATACATATATATCATAATAGCCGTTAACTTTTGAATCATTATAAGTTTTTCCACCACATCACCTCTCTTTCCTTTTGTTTATATATTTTAACATTGTTTTATAACAATAGATTTATAATATAAATTACATAATATCACAAACGAATAGAAAATATTTCCTTTGATCATGTGAGTGCAATACTTCTGTTCAACATTATCATTGTGTTAGGTTAGTTTTTTCACAACAGTAATTTTCTTTCTGTTTAGTGAAACTGTTTGAGGCAATTAACGTGGTATGTTTCTTCTCTGGTTCTGTAAACTCCGTATCCATAGTTTCTGTAAACTAAGTCTTCGTATCTTTTTGTATCTTTATTCTTTACATGATAGAATCAGTGTATCAGTATTTTCTATCATGGTATCCAGAGCAAATTGATTGTTTTTCATGGCTCCCGCCACAAATCTTGATGGGGTTTCTAACCCCGATTCTGATGGCTGTTCTGGACTCTTCTTCGATTCCAGTGGCTGCTCCAGTTTCTTCTTCGATTCCGATACTCAGGCTAAATACATCAGAGACTTACTGATGAAGACTAAAATGCTTAAATGCAAGCATCTTTCATCTCCAATGGTATCTAATAGCAAATTGTCTAAACATGGTTCAAATCTGTTACAATATCCTTCTTTCTACAGGTCTATTGTTGGTGCAATTCAGTATGTTACTATAACTCATCCTGAATGAAGTTTTGTTGTCAACAAGGTCTGCCGGTTTATGGCTTCTCATCTAGAATCTCATTCAACTTGCAGTTAAAAGAATATTGAGATATCTCAAAGGGGCCTTACACTATGGCCTCATTGTTCATCCTGCTATTCCTCATCAACCTCTAGCTATCAGAGCTTTCTGTGATGGAGATTGTGCAACAGATCCTGATAACAGGAGGGCTACTTCAGGGGTTGCCATTTATTTGGGACCTAATTTAGTTTCACGGTGGTCAAGAAAACAAACAGTGGTTTCTAGATCTAGCACCGAAGTTGAATATAGGTGTTTAGCTGCTGCCACAGCTTACATATTATGGATGCAGACTCTTCTCATTACACTCCTATTGTTCTGTGTGACAATCTAAGTGCTGTTACTTTGCCTCACAATCCTATTCTTCATGCTAGAACCAAACGCATGGAGCTTGATGCTTTTTTTTTGTTACAGAAAAGGTAACTAACAAGCAGCTTGTTGTTCAACACATTGTTGTATTAGACTGTAATGCTTTTGTTAGACATTTTTGTTGTGTTCGTTAGTTCGTTACAACTGTTGTTTTCTGTTCTGTCTAGTGTAGTTATTTTTGAGGCAGTTCCCATAGTTTGTTCTTCTCTGGTTAGTGCAACTGTTTGGGTTAGACAGCTATAACTAATTATTGTATATATTTTCCTCTTTACATTATAAAATCAAGTATTTTCAATCAGATCACTAGTGTATAATCTTTTTTATTTTTTTATTTATGTAAAAATAGTTATTCTCCGAGGAAAAATGAAACAATCAGAGTAAGTTAAAAAACATTCTTCACAATATAGAAATATTTTTTCCCATCTTCATTGACAAATCTAAGTTAGTATGTGAATTATTAATGTTACTTACGGAGCCACATGAGTATTGACAAGTGTGAAATATATCCTCCAAAAGTGTCTTTCTTTCATGATGCGTGGACATAGTTCATATCTCAATCTTGAAATTTCCTGCGATGGTGTAATTAAAATACATAAATAATAATAAAATAGCAAGGTTTTGATAAATAGCATTACTCGTTGGTGGTAAATGAAAACATATTATTGCAAATACAGAGGTAGATGATACTTTTAATAAATTAGCTTGATCACAAACAATTATCACAAAGAAATAAAGTTAAATTATTCATTCAATGGAAGCATGGCAAAGGACGCAATAGACAAAAGTCTCTATACTAGTACTAGTAGAAAGCAAATGGATAGACAATGCTTGCCAGCAAGACACCACCACCACTAACACTAGCAATGAACCAAACTTGAAATTAGTTTGAGAGAAAATTTGACATTAATGCACTGAATTCGGTTTCATGAACCAAATGCGTTGAGCATAAGCTACATACATATATATTAAATGTCTAATTAATTTCATAATACTTCAGTATGAAATAAATACATAATATGTAACAAATTTTATATTAAGAATTCAAAATGCATAATAATATTAATATGACTCAAGCTAAAAATTTGAATCTAGACAATCACGAGTTTGAATCATGTTTGAGCTACAAAAGAGGTTCATACATTTTGAATGAAGTAAATCTGCGATAAAAATTTGGCAGTTTTGTTTAAAATCACCAAAAAAGATTGTGGTTGTTAAATTGCCAGAAATTTAAAAATGAAGATGTTTCTAACATGCACTGTTGCCAAAGGCAATTTTGATGTCATACATATTGAATATCTTGAAACTTGATTGAAATCAGATATGCACGCAGCGGTTGACTTTTACAGGCTTTGAAATTTTATGGTCAATTTATGAGATCATGTATAGGATATAATTAATTTAAATTAATCATTGTTTTGATTGTTTATCTAAAGATGAGAGGAAAAAGATAGGGAAAGAGGAAGAAAGGAGAAGAAAAGCATAAGAGGAAAAAAACAACAAACAAGGGGAGAGGCTTCATTGCCGAAAATTACCTTTGTTTTCAAACCAACTTCGTTCTCAAATTTTTGTTGATCTAACAACCACCAAATTTTCTTTTGGCAGTTTTATGTGTAGGGAGCAAAACAAAAAGTGTGCACAAGTATAGAGACTAAATGGTTTATTAAACCATAAATAAACAACGAAAAAACATGATGTAAAAGTAATCACCAAAATGACCAGGGAAATTCATTCAATCATGCATCCTTATTTTTTCCTGGAAAAGAAGGTTTAGAGTGCAAGATTCACACTTAAGCCTGTCTTTGGCACCTTGCAAAAATAAACATGTGAAGAGGAATGAATTATAAAAAAATCACTAAGGCACCTTACTAATAATTAAAAAGTGTATAAATTTCTCTTCTCTTGCCTTGCCAAATTACCAAAACAAACATCTGAAGTTAAATGCATTACAAAGTAATCACTTTAACACACTATCTTCAAAAGAGGAGCCTTCTATCTTGCCCCTTAGTCCATCTTTTTAGTTCAAAAGGAATAGCAATCACACTAACCCAAAAGCCTAAAAATAACAACAAAAACAAACAAATATGAATATATATAATACATACACTGATGTGTTATCCCTAACTTCCTAAGCTCAGTTTGTTAACTTTAAAAGATAGCTGCCGTTGAAATCATATCGAAAGTGATTTCTGATTGATTCATTGCATATTCATTCACTGGTAATTCATGTCTATTAAACTCAACAAACGTTCACTATAAAACAATGCAATTTCCCCACACAAGGGATCCAACATAAAACAAATATTTAAAATTAAAAAAGGTGAATTTACCTTAACAGTAGTTAAAACGAGAGTTGCATGCTTCTCCTGAAACTCATTGAGATCCTTCCGAACATTGGATCCCGCAGTGGCCACATCGGAGCCCTCGGGTTCATCTACATTTTCAACCTCACTCACTCAAACCGTTCAAAAACATAATAAATAAAATACATATCCGCAAACTGGTTTCTAAAATTACCGGAACTGATAGGAAAGTTCTCGAAGGTGGTCGAAGTGAGGCCCTTGACGAAGGATCTGAGGTCGTCGGAGACGCCGAACTTCTCGAGGTCTTGCGGCGTCGCGTCGGGCGGTGAGGCGGTAGTGGCGGCGGAGGCAATGGCGGCCAACTGCGGGGGGATGACGATGGTGTCAGAGAAGGACTTGATCTGGTCAGCCTGGCGGAGCGCGGCGGATTTGAGGATGTCGGCCTTCTTGGAGGCTTCGGCGGCGAGTTCTTTGGATTTCTTGGCGGTTTCGGAAACAAGATCGGCGATCCGGGAGGAGGATGGGGTGAGGGATTGGGACTTTTTCGCGGCCTCTTCGGCGAAGGTCTTGGCACGCTTCCACAGGTCCTCCATTGGTCTCCCGGTAAACAGAGAGAGATCGAAAAGGAAGAAGGGAAGACGAAGGACGGAGACTATAGGAGAAGAAGATTGGTGGATTTGTTTGACAGCGATACGACAACGTATGGTAAGAAGAAATCCACTCAAGTGCATGGATCTTTTATTTGTTTACTTTTTGGCTACTTATTATTATTCACTCTTTATTTTTATTTTTTTCAGCACATATATTTAATATTCAATGAAATTTAACTTATCAAAATATATTTATAATAAAATTCAATAATTTTATCATGTCATTTTATATATTATGTATTATAAATCTAAATCATTTGATGTTTAAAGGATAGTGTCGAAGGAAATATTTGTTAGGAACGTTTGAATTCTCTAATTCCGTAAGTTCGGTGTGAGAGTGAGACTTGAGTGACGCCTTAAACACCCCAAAATTTTAATTTTCTTTGTTAAAATTATATATATTAAAATATTTAAAAATAAATAAATTGCCTCCCTCAAATTTTATTTCTCCCTCCACTTCTGAAGACAATTGTTAATTCCTTAAATCAAATACAAATGAAAAAAATAATTTAAAAAAATAAAAGAAAAAAATAATTTAAAAAAATAAAAGAAAAAAATAAAGTTAGAGAGTTGAGTTATTAAATATTTTGTTCTGAAATGCTTTATTTTTTAATATTTAATCTCTATAAACTTTAGCTCTAAAGTATTATTGTATATTCTTAGCTATATTAGTATGTTAAATTTGTGAAGTCATATTTTAAGATGTTATAGTTAAGATAAGAGAAAAATGCAGTGTAAATAAAATAAAAATTATGGGTATATTAGTCAGCAATAATTTTTGAAATAATACTCCTTTAGTTTTCGTTTAGATTAGAGAGTGAAAAATTAAAAAAATAATAATAATAAAAGGTAAAGTTGTTGGAATGGAGAAAAAAAAACGAGTTAATGAAAATAAAAATATATATTATTTATTTTTAATAATTTTATTTATTATTTTAATATTATTTTTAATTATCACATAATAATTAATTTTTTATGTAATTAATATATATATATATATATATATATATTGATTTTTCACATATTTTTTATTTTAAAAAGAGGCGTATTTATTATTGGAGAAAGTAAAATGAGTGAATTAAAAGAGCATTAAAAAATTTAGTTTTTTAGTTTTCATATAATCTTTTAACCTTGAATTATAATGGATATATTTATAAAATTGTTTATCAAAACTATCATTTACAAATTTTCATCATAATTTTTTTTCTAATCATAAGTTAAAAGGTATATGATGTATATTCTGCTTTTAAGGGGAAAAAACTAAACATTAATAACAAAACACTTTATGTTTCTCTAGTTTTACAAAATGTTACGTGGCACAAGTTTAATGTAATTTTTTTTTTCAGTTTTGTTTATTTTATTTTTTAATTTAATTATAAAATAATATTTATATTTTATTATTCTTCATGTAAAAAAGTACAATATTATAATTAAATAAATCAGAACTTTAACAAGACTGATATGAATAAAATCTATTGTCAAATAAGATGGAAAAAAAGACTCTTAAAATTTATAAGATAATGTACGGTAGAACCTACAAATAAATTAAAACATAAATGTTATATTTGTGGAAAAAAAGAGTCTTCAATGTCATCATAACTTAATTTGATTTAGGAAATAATATATTTAATTATTAATTTATGAAGAGTCTATTTTAGTTTCAAGAAAATAAATAAGTATATAAATCTTCGATCTCACCATATCAAATGATCGAATTAATTCTCTCAAGTTATTGTATTTAAGTAAGTTTTCATGTAATCATTATAATTAAATTTTTCATATTTCATATTTTTTTTATTAAATACGTTGTCAAAGATTTTTTCTTCTCAAAAATTATATCGAGATTTGAATAATAAACTTAATCCTCTGTCATCTTGTATTATTCACGCTTTTCCCTCGGGTTCTTTTTCTTAAGTTTTCTCATTTTCTTCCTTCAAGACTAAGTATGCTTATTTTTCTTATTATAATTTTCCCTGTTATATCTTTTGCTTATGGTTCTTTTGGTTCCTCTGGAGCATATGTGAACACAAAGTTCTTCCCATCGATCATGATTACTTCGGAAAAAAGAATTTCACGAACTTCACTTCTGGGATTAGGGCATTTACACCACCTCCACTTCCCATTGTTTTTGCTGCTTCTACTAGTCAATCTTAGACCTTTAAACCTATCTCTAAGAGGGGTAATTGGAGGGCTTGCTTCCTCCTGTTAGTGGCAAATCGAGAAAAGCGATCGAAATCGAAAGAAAGAAATGTGACTCGATAAGATAAACAAAAATTCATTCGATGTCTAATTAGAAATACATAGCATATAGCATCGAGAAGCACAATCGAGAATCGAACGAATAATAATCAAATGACTGTTGTCGAATAAAAACTAAGTCATGTAAGACCAGGGTTAAAAAGAAATCGTAAGCGATTCGAAGTTCTCGAAAAATACAGAATCGAGGGTAAGGAAAGCCAATGTGGACATCGAGACTTTGGCCAAATCGTGAAAGGAAGTAAGTCGAATGCACGTATAAAGAGCAGTTTTGAAATCATGGGAAAAAGTCGGAGATCGTGAAGAACGTGGGAAACTATAGAAGATAAACGGTCATACGCACGTAGAACGTGGTAGCAGTCGTGCTAACTGCTCTTGGAAGGCTTGAAGGATACCCTATAAATAGAGCAAAGGAGGAGAGGGGGAGGGAGGAGAAATTGGCAGAGACGACAGAAGCGCAAGTGAACAGTCTACAGGAGAACGACGCATCATGAAGTTTCTAATGCTCTGGATTTCCGTTTTCATTGATTATCTTTATCGTTTTCTCTACTTTCCCTGGTAATTTATGTTTATGTAATTTACTTTGATGCAGTTTACATTTAGCAACTTTAAGTTTCTGCACTTTCGATTCCTTGTCATTTATTTTTATGCAAGTTAAGGTTATGCGTTTAAGATCCTCGTCAGTTACATTTCTGCAATTTCGATTCCCTGTTGTTTACATTTCTTGCAATCTCGATTTCTTGTCATTTATATTTGTGTTGTTTTCGATTTCTTGCTATTTACAATTAATGCAAGTTTGGGGTTTTCGCAATTTACATTTCCTCGCAATTTAATATTCTGCTTTTCGATTCGATAGTCTTAATGCTTTCGATACTTTAAATACAAAACACCAAAAAACAGCATTTTCGATATCCTGTAGTTTTCGATTCTCATACACGTTTTCGATTGAAAATCAAATTGCTAGCCTAAGTAAAAAGAACTTACGTGGTAGAATTTTGATTAGGACCAAAACACCCTTAGAATCGAAATCGATCGAAATTCCACCAGAAACAAATTGGCGCGCCAGGTAGGGGGAGTCTTGTGTTGAGAAACACAAAATTGGTTAGTTCGAAATTGTATGAGATTAAGGAGTGGGAGAGTCATGAGTCAGAGTTCATCAAATAACCAAGGTAACAGTGAGGGATTAAATGGGTCACACCCACCAAATACTGGGGGGCAAAGTCATAATGAGAACATACCTGTAGTATCGATAACTGTGAGCATGTCGATACCTGTGAGTAGTGAACAAAATTCAGGTACATTAGCAAACACCCAAGTAGGATCTAGTACGGTGATACCAAATAATATGCAAACTATAGGAAATCCCACAACCACATATGTAGGGCCACGTATGAGTGTAAGACCGCCCGGGTTTTCACTTAATAATGTGAGTGGAGCTGGAACTTCTTCAACGCATAGGAATTCGAGATATAACTTAGGAATGTCCCAAACACTAGGTATGCCACAAAATTTTGGAATCCCTCCGAATTTAGGGACGTCGCAAAATTTAGTAATTCCCCTGAATTCAGGGAATGGACAGAAGGTAGGCATACAACAGATATCTCCAAATCTAGATCAGAGGGGATACTTAGATCATGGGAGACATGTATTCGATAGAGACTATCATCGATCTAATTTTGATGCTATCGAAAATATGGGTACCGGAATATCTAGTAATTCATTAGGGGTACTTAGACAACAAATGGATGAGAGTAATTTTGAAATGGTGAACATGTTATCACAACAATTGACTACAGTCTTAAGTCCATTAGTGCAAAACACTACTGCTAGTTTTGAGATATTAGCAGACCAAATGTCACGAATCGGGGATGCATTGGATGTGCCTCGACGAACAAGGGTAGAAAATCATGCCAACCAGAATACTAATATTAATCCCCCATATCTATTGAGAAGAAATAGAAACAATGATCAACAGCAGCGTATGGGACAGGAGTATCAACATGTGAGGAATGATATTTATGGGAATTTGAACGAAGGATTTCAAAATATACACAATCAGAATAATATGTTGGGACAAAGGGTGAATTTACAAGGGATGGAATTTAGACCACCTAATCAGACATATTTTGTGTCCCCCTTTCCGAATGCGATTCTCGAGACAGAATTGCCTCGAGGATATAAAGTACCCAAATTCACCAAATTTGCTGGAGAAGTTGGTGAATCGACTATCGAGCATGTAGCTCGATATCAGATCGAATGTGGAGACCTAGCGATGAGTGAGGAATTGAAAATGAAATATTTCCCGAGTTCTTTGACTAAGAATGCTTTTACTTGGTTCACGTCATTGCCACCTAATTCGATATATAATTGGCTGCAATTGGAAAGAAATTTTCATGAACAATTCTTTAGAGGAGAAACTCAAGTGAGTCTCATCGACTTGATGAATATAAAAAGATACAATCATGAAAGCATAGATGATTATTTGAATCGATTTAGACAAATGAAATCGAGATGTTTCACTCAAATTCCTGAATATGAATTAGTCAGAATGGCTTCTGCAGGTTTAGAATTCTCGATTAGGAAAAAACTAGTCAATTTACCATTAAATGACATGGCTCAATTAGCTGATAAAGTGAGAAGAGTGGAACAAATCGAGTATGAGAAACAAAGGTATAAGAAATATGAGAAACCTCTAAAAAAGGAAAGAATAACATACATAAATGATGTATATGAGACATATAATATGAAAGAAAATGATATTGAAGAAAGCTGTCGATGAGAAAGTAAACTTAGCGAGAACTCAAAGTGGGGGTTCCATATACACG